ACTCATGCTGAAATCTGGTCCTCAGTGAAAAGTGCCGCGAGGTGGTGGAATCTTGAAGCGATGATTTGGTCGTTAGCAGGGATTAATGCAGTTCTCCTGGGACTTGATTAGCTGCAAGCCAAGCAGACTGCCGGGCGGCAAGGCTGCCCCTCATGTTTGCTCTCTTCCATATGCGTCTTCTTGCCTGTCTGCTTCTTTGACACAGCGTGAGGCCCTCACCAGCTGTGACCATCAGATCTTGGATTTATAACCTCTACAATCATAAGTGAAATAAACTTGTTTCTTTTATGAATTACCTAGTTGTGGGTATTCTGTTATAGCAGCAGAAAATAGACTAAGACACTCTAGTCTCAGCATAGCTGACCAACAGGACAATTACAATATGTGTCCATGGCATTGTTATCCTCTGTCTGAGGCATCACCCCACCTCCCACTCCCTCATACTCTCCCCTCACACTTGGTTTAATAGGCATTTGTTGCCTAGGACTTTTCATGCCACTGCTTGTATTAATATTAAAACCTGGGGTGGGCATTTGGCCTCATGGTTGACAGCCTGATTAAGACTTCTTCCCGTATTAGTACCGTGTGATTTCAAGTTGGAATTCTTACTCCCCATTCTAGCTTTCTACTAATGCATGCCCTGGGAGGCAGCAGAGGATGGTTCAGGTGGCTGGGTCCCTGCCATCCACATGGAAGACCTGGGTTGAGTGTCTGTCTCCTGGCTTGGTCCTGACCCAGTCCCCACCCAGACTGTCGCAGGGAGTGAACCAGCAGATAGAAGCCCTCTATCAGTCTGTGCCTCTCCAATAAAAGGAAAATTAAAACTTTTTCTCAAGTAAAAGTCTGGTATCACCCATTTCTATTTGTTCCGTAAAATACATTTGCATGTTAAACCCTATCTCATATTGTATAATTAAAGGATTTGTTCTCTGTTAAAGAAATTACCCATGGGTGTTGTGGCATATCAGGTTAAGCTGCCACCTGCAATGTGGGTCATGGCCGCACTTCTCCGCTTCTGATCCAGTTCTCTGCTAATGGCCAGGGAAAAGCATCAGAAACTGCATCAAATTCTTGGGCCCCTGCTACCCATATGGACACCTGGATGAAGCTCCTAGCTCCTAGCTTCAGCCTGGCTCAGTCCTGGCATGTGTGACCACTTGGGGTGTGAACCAGCAGATGGAAGAACTCTGTCTCTTCCTCTTCTGTCTCTGTAACTGTGACTTTCGAATAAAAAGATAAATCTTAAAAGAAAGTGTCTCTGGTCAATCTGTGGGCTGTGCCGTGGCAAGGCTTAGGAATGTGCTTGGGAAGTCTTCTTTACCACCATTGCTATTGCTTGAACTGGCATCTTCAGAGGTGTCTACTTACCTAATGGGCTTTGGCTTTTGATCCAAGCTGGTAGTTACTGTTTGACTTCCCTCGGAAGGACTGGACACTCTTTTTTTTTTTTTTTTGACAGGCAGAGTGGACAGTGTGAGAGAGAGACAGAGAGGTCTTCCTTTGCCGTTGGTTCACCCTCCAATGGCCGCCGCGGCCGGCGCACTGCGCTGATCCGATGGCAGGAGCCAGGTACTTATCCTGGTCTCCCAGGGGGTGCAGGGCCCAAGCACTTGGGCCATCCTCCACTGCACTCCCGGGCCACAGCAGAGAGCTGGCCTGGAAGAGGGGCAACCGGGACAGAATCCGGTGCCCTGACCGGGACTAGAACCTGGTGTGCCGGCGCCGCAAGGCAGAGGATTAGCCTAGTGAGCCATGGTGCCGGCCCAGGACTGGGCACTCTTAAGGCTCCCACTTCACTCCTAGCTGTTCAACTTCTTTGATACAAAGGAAACTGCAACATTTTTGCCTCTTTCTGGGGCTTCTGGGAACTTCCAGTCGTCTCAGTGAGTTTCAGAATCATGCAGCCTTTGTGTTTTTGCCAGAACCATCTCATCTCCACTGAGCTGTGCTCACACTTTTCCAGAATCGTCTATACTGAGAGGCTAGCACTGAGAACACATAGATTTCCTGGCCACTATAGTAAATTCAATCAGGACACTCCTGTTCCCAGTGTCCTCTGCTTTTCCCTAAACCAATTCCAACGCACTTCTCCCTCTGCCTTCCTCTTCTCTGGTCACTCCCTTAAGGATCAGGACCTTGGGATTTGACTAGAAAATTTGGAAACAGACTTTCAGGAACGAATCATTTCAGATACTTAAGAAGTGCCTCACGATGCCTTTGAAATGTTTTGCAGAGGCTATTAGAGAGTGGGCACATCTACAGAGCCAGCTAGCTCCATGTTAAAGTTAGCTTCCACTAGGATGGTTTGTGACCCACCAGTGATAACGCACAACCTTGGGATCATTGCTTCAGTCTGGCGCATATTCTCTGCTGTGAGAGGTCATGAGTACAGGGAAAAACAGCCCTCTAAGGACTGCCTGGGCATTCTTTGAAGAGTAGAGATTAGCCCGAGAAGCTTTCAAGATGGGGGAAAAAACAACTCATAGATCCATAGCTCTTGGAGAAACCAGATATCCCTTAGACCAAAGGGACTACTTTCCTTAATTCTCCTCAGTTTTCCTAGATGGGTTATTTCTGATGGTAGCCAGACTCTGATTTAGCTGCCAAATATCTTCTTTGGAAACATTTGCATTTCTCTTTTCATGAAATCAATTCCATTCTGTAGCAAGAAAGTAAATAAGATCCCATGTCCTGGTGATTCACTCTCATTATTTTTCCTCCCCAAACCAAAAATACACAGTGCTACGGTTTGAATGCATCCCCCCAAAGCACACGTTAAACACTTAATCCTCAATGCTCTGGTATTGGGATGATCTCAACGATGGGGGTGTTGACCGGACTCTGTTCAGCCCATATGCATTTATGCTGGTGACGGAAGGGTTTGAGACTGTGAGTTCAGTCCTTTGGCCTCTCTTTGCCCTTCCGCCATGGGATGATGCAATGTAGCAAGAAGACCCTCACCTAATGGGGCCCCTCAACCTTGGACAGCCCAGACTGCAGAACTAGAAGTCATAAATCTCTGTTCTTTATAAATGACCCTGTCTCAGGTGACCTGTCTCAGCACCATAAAACATACTAAGGCAAACGGACTTAGGTTCTGGGTTACAGCTTCATACCATCACTCTGAAAATTAGGTCAGTAAGCTAAGGGTAAAAAGAAATAATTAAAAGTATCAGGAAAGCTTACTTTTCCATAAAATATTTACTAACATGGTTAAGATATCTTCACAATAAACTCAAATGGAACATTTCCACTCCATCAGATAAGCCTTGTAAGTGGATCTGAAGGGATGAAAATTTGCAATTTTTTGAAAATTAAAATTGCAGTGTGTAGCATTATCAGATTATTAAAAATTGTGTAGTAAAATCAATTTTACTTAAATAAATAGAATTACCAGATTAACATGTTGACTCTTTCTGGGTGTGACTGAGCATGTTCCATGAATCCAGCCATTTTCATTAGCTTGCACATAGTGTATGCCACAAAAATGCTTGCTGAATCACAGTGGAAGCTGTCTCTCCCTATACACATAACTGCCCATAAGTTACTTCTTCTGGAAGGATTGAAGGATTTTTAGGTTAGCTCTCGGGACATTGCCATTCTCAGCAATATACTCTATTGGCCTAAAACATGATAATGTAATAAAATGCAAATATCTGACTGAGAGGTAATGTAGCCAGCTGGAAATGGGTTTCTCTGAAAATTATGTGAACAGATATGAGAAAGAATGTAATGAGATCATGAAGGTACTAAGCATTTGGAGATATAGGTGGTGCCAAAAAGATAAGAAAATATAAATGAAGAGGGTATTTATATCAATGGAAAATTTTGCTTATTTCTCAATTTTGGTCTACATTACTGTTGCTCATCTTTAAAGACTAGTCAGAGACTACCATCAATTAGCTAAAACTTAAAATATTCATCCTGGAAAGAATACCTGAATTATTCTTTTGTGGGAAAATGGATATATGCATTGGCATACTATGAGCTAAAGTAACAGAAGACAAGCTAAGAAAGCACTTATTGTAGTCATGAAAAACGTAGTTTGCTAAAAAGTACTCTTTTCTTTGGGCATAGTAGTGTTAAGCTCTATTCAAAAACAAAATTGCATAGTAATACAGATACAAAGAAAATCTATGTGATGTTTTCTCCAATGTATTAGTGCATTCCCAATATGTTGAGAATAATATTATATATATGGTATTAGACTAAAATACATACTGGTAGCTTAATATGAAAATTTCTTAGTGAAAATAAAAATACATACTTTTATAAATCAAACTTTTTGGAAAAAATAACTAATCTGATTTTGAAGTTTTTATAGTTGTGACATAAAGCCACTAGGGTATATCTAGAAATGGAATCATACTTAACACCAAATTTTTGCTTGTCCTCCTTTTACCATTGTAGCCTTGTCATCTACCATGATCAGACATTGCGCCCAAGGCTATTGCTTCTCTGAGATGGTGTTTCTGGGAATGATTTTATGATATTATCAGACATATTATTGCTGCCAACCTCTGGTAATAGTACATACAGAAAGCACTGGGACTTTATTATAGGAACAAAGCAAAAGTGTTAAAATGTTTACATTTAGAAAAAACTCAAAAGATTCACTCCTCTATTTGCACACACATGTATTTGCATACTCAAACACAAGATGGAGCAACATTTATGATTCCAAGAGAATAAGTTTCCATGGTTCAAGTATGACTTTACCTAAGAGCGCACGATTCATTTAATAATTCCCATGTAAAAAGTCCTGCATGTACTTTATGTGCTTCAAGGTGCTCAGAACCCTGTGGGTTCTCTCCAGTTAACACCATTGATAATCCACCCATGGTAGTGTTATAGGGCGTCCTCATCAAGAGTTTTTCTAGTGCCGGTTTTGTGAGGACTCCATGCATTCGTTTGACCAATTTCTTCAACCTGAATAGACTGAAGGATTAAACAATATCTTATATATGCTTAATTTCCAGTACATTAGCCTTGGCTCTTACCCTCCTCCAGTAAGGTGATGGCATACACCTTTTGTTCATAAGGCACCTGTAGAAAGTCTAGTGAAGTGGACTTCATCTCCTTAGTGTTTTCCATAACCAGTCTTGGTTTAGAAAGTTGAAAAAGCAGCAGAGACATTCAGGGTAACCCACTAGAGGAAACAATGTCAATTTATTGAAATAATAAAAGAACACAAGATCACTTAAAAGAAAAATTTAGGCTTAAATAAATCCTTTAGATTCAAATTAGATAATGGCAATTACCCTTTATAACAGGAATTTTGCCACCTTACTGGTTATGTCCCTAGCACCTGGGGCATAATAGATTCAATTAATAAAAGTCAAGCTGAGTTGATGAATGAATGAATGAATGAATGAAATAAGAAACTGAAATACTTCCTCAGTTGATGATCAAATTATAAGTACTTTAAGGTTTCACCTAGGCAAAACATCTTACTATACAACATAATGTGGGATGAAATAGGGAGGCATATAATATTATAAATGCAATTTTTCTAGGTAGTACTCACTGAAAACAAAATCTTTGTCCCAGAAGCAAATACAAATCAAATTCATTTCATCTGTTTGCAAGGTTATAATGCATAATTGGCTTTCAAATACTTTCATTTATTAAGAGGGAACTTTTATTTTGCTCTCAGTGTTGTTTCAAACTTGTTAAAATACAGTGTATATTTTTGTTCAAAGAAAGCCCCACATTAATGAAAAAACTGTTATGTTAATTTTCTGGTGAAAGAGAATGAAAAAAAAATGCTTCAAAATTTATTTTATAGCTTATGTTAAATGAGTATGAGATAATCCTGTTCTTGAAAAGAATAAATCATACAAGACTACTTGATCGGAACTTCCAGATTACATGGTTTTCCTTCTTACGGGGGGAAAAATACCCTCATAAACCACAGTCTGATTATTCAATTTCCCGTATTAACTATAGCAACTACTCATTTCTTGTGCTCAAACAGTGGATCATATATCGCCAAAGGGTAGCACAGAATCTGTCACCATCTACAACTCATTTTATTAGTTGTAAATGCTTTTGGAAAACAGAGATAAATAGTTTCGAAATTTCTGCATCTAACCTGGTCAATATCTGCTTAATTTCTAGTATATGAGCCTTGGCTTTTACCCTCCTCCAGTAAGGTAGTGGAATATACCTTTTGTTCTTGGTTGGGTAAAAAGACAGACAGACTCACACATAACCACAGATATGATTGTCTCATTAAAAAAGCCGATGTTTAAAAACCCACTGAAGTTAGAGTTAAATTGGGCCAATAGTACCTATTTTTAGAACTATCATCTGAGAAATTTCACCTACTTCTTTCCTACACCCTTATATTACAAGAGGGACATTGCAGAATCACATATTGAAATAAAGCCTCTTCTATACTTTCTCAAATATCCTCTGAATGAGCTTAAAATCAAGGCTAAATTAATCTCTTCAAAATATGATTTAAATGGCTTTAAGGGTGATAGGAAAGAGTAACAAGATGATTTGTGTGGTAAATTCTTTCAATGCATTCTTGTGAAATATAATTATTAAAATTGAAAACATTTCACGGTTATCATCATTTATAGGATGTGGAGTTTCAGGTAGGAGACAAACATTCTAGAAACTATTTCCACTTTAACGTGAACATTCACCTGGTAAAACTGTCCATTTATTTGTAGAACAGCTGTTTTCCAATTTTTGTTTTGTTTTCTGACATTTCTCACTGAGCTTTTTTTTCTTTCTATGAATTTTATTTATTTACTTTTATGTATCTGAAAGCTCTGAGAGGCAGAGAGATCTTCTGTCTGTTGCATCACATCCCAGTTGTCCACAGAGGCCAGGGCTGGACCAGGCCAAAGTCAGGAGCCCTGAACTTGGCCCAGGTCTCCTATGTAGGTGACAAGGACCATTGTATTTGAACCATCTCCTGCTGCCTCCCAATGTGTGCACTAGTAGAAACCTGGAATCAAAATTAAGCCAGGACTCAATCCCAAACTCTCAGATGAGGGATGCGAGCATCCCAAATTGCAGCTTAACTGCTACACCAAACGCCCAACCCTCCTTGTTGAGTTATTTTAAAGAACTTCTTGAGAAGTGGCGCTTTCTGACATAACTCATAAAAATATGCTGGTGTGCTTTGAAAATACTAATGAAAATGCTGAAAATTGTACTTTTGATTTGACTACTATACCACTTAGATTGGAAAATAGTCGGTGGTAGTGAGTTCCTCCATTTATTAAACCTTTCCCCTTTGGTGGGTGATGTTGGTGACAATTTGAAATAACTCAATTCACAGAAAATCTGTTCTATCCCTCTTACATATATATTAGTTAAAGTCAGTAACAGCCAAAGCATTGTTTTGGGGAACCAAAGAAAATGACACTATTCGAGAATCATGTTTAATTTGACACAATGGAGCATTTTAAAGGACAAAATGTGAGGTAAATTTAACGGTTTAAAGTAAATAAAACTCAGAAATATGTTCCTAAATGGGCATTTTTGAAACTAGGGGAACCAAAAGTTTTCAATAGTTGTAGTAACCACTCAAGTATAAAGGACATAGACCAATACCATTCTAATAATTGCATTGCCTTGTAATGGTGTATTAAGCAATAGATCAAGAGAAGAAACTCAAGGACTGAAGTGTTAACTTGTTTGTCTGCATACTTTTATTGAGTATAGACCACAATTACTTATAGGATAATAGGCACCAAAATAACTAGGAACACTTTAAGTAAGAGGGGATGTGTAGGTAAACTAAATCACTTACCTTAATTCTGGACATGATGTATTTATTGAAATGGAATTCAATGCTGTATCATTTAGTTCACCAAGGCCTTATAAAACTAGTGGAACATCACCCAGTTTTCCTGGCTAGTTTCTCTTGTTATTTCTTTCATTTTATGTTCTGGGGAGAAGAAAAATTATTTCAGGACAGGAAACATAGCTGGAGAAAGATCGCACTGTTCACATTGCTTCAGTGATAAAAATAAAGTATGTTGCACCTGTCTCTTGCTGGTGGTTTTTTTTCCTACCTTCATCTTACCCATAACATTTATCAAAACCTAACATACTATAATAATTTTGTATATTTATCATCTGTCTCTTCAGATAGATTCTATGCTGTATGAGAATAGGAACTTATTTGTATTATTCATTTCTGGATCATCAGAACCTGCTGTACAGTGGGCTCTTAATGAATATTTGTGACATAAAATTCATATGGACATATTTATGTAAATAGTTACTCCTCTATAAGAAGATAGGAAAGAGACATGGGTTACTCCCAGTATTTGCCATGGGGTTATGTTTCTTCCTGAGAGCTTATACTTAGTATTATATGTAGATGATTTTAAAGTTCTTTTTTCAACAAGCCAGACATTATTCATAGGAAACTCATAGAACACAGTAACATTATTACTGTTATTTGAAGGCTTTAGTAAGTGAGCCAGAAACAACATGCCCACACTAATAAGTTGCAGTTGGTCAACGGTAGTATATGTACAAAGTTGTAGATCCATTTCTCAGGGGTGACCCCTAGATGTCCTAGCTCTGTCCAGCTCATCAAGAAAACTCTCTTTTCAAATAATAGCCAAGGATTACACTTAGTCTAGATATTCCAGGTGAGTATAAGCTGTTTCGCTGGATTTGAAGGGGGAAAAGAAATGCTGAAATAGATAAGAAAGTTTGAAATATGATGTGATAAAAAAATTACATCTATTTTAATCCTTGTAATACACAAGAGGCCCCTCTCATAGTTTTAGTTCACTAATAATATCATTGATATTTAACATTTATTTATAAAGAATTGAAGACCTGAACTAGTAAATATCTTTCAATAGACAAATGATCAAATATTTTGTCATGATAATATATTCTTGGCAGTAATTAGAACACCATCACTTAATCATGTTTAAACTTCCACAATAGAGAATGAAAGCTCATGAATTCAGCTGATTGCTAAAATTAAAAACACATATTCTCATTTCATCTTATTTCATAATTAAAGGGAAACACATTTTTGTTACTTCAAAAGTAGGTATGCCTTAAGTATTTCTCTGGAATTGGTTCCATAAAATGGATACATTAAATATTAATAAAGGCACAGCATTGATTCTCCTATATAGAAATTTTGTTTCTTAAGATTGTGGTTTAGTTAAAGAACTCTGAAACTGCTCACCAAATTCAAACATAGTTTCAAAAAAACAAAGTTTCAATTAGAGTTCTATGAAGCAAGACTTTAGATTAATTTTTTCACTAAATTTAACTAATTCTTATGTCACGTTGATTAGAGAGTTTGATGTCATAAAGATGTATCCTAAATCAATGGTTTTTGTAACTAAGTTAAATGTAAGCAAAATTGAAATGATAATTATTATCTCTCTCCCTCAATTGTCTGAGCATTGAGGCTAACAATGATATTTTTACTTCAATTATTTTGACAAGTTGTTCAATTCTTTTATTCATTTTAATATAATTCACTCGTAATCAAATTTGTGAAACTTTCTTTGGCTATATTTCACTCATGACTTATCCCACATTACTGAAGTAATTTGCCATTTTAGAATATACATCATCATAATGAATCTATTTTGATCTATAATGTCCAAATTCATATATTTTTAATATAAATTGTTCTTCTTTTCTAGTTTCTTGTGCTATATAGGTGAAATAGAGATCCAAGGCATTACCTATAGGATTTAAATGCCTACCCCTTTTGTTGAACACACACATTTTAACTTAAAATATCTGTAGGATTTCTTTAATGCAGTAGTCATTGTTGTGACTATTTTTTGTTTGGATACTGTTTATACCAAGTTGAGAATGTACATTCCATGTATAGCCTTGTCAGTATCAATTGTAATCTTCAGAACCCTAAGAAATCCATAGCTCATTGGAAACAAAGTGATGGGGATGTACTTTGTTGATCTGCAATATTTGCCACACATTTAGCTGATGGTTATTTTAATTTAATTTTTTTCAAAAAACCAGAAAGCTAGGGTAGAAAGTTATTCACTAGGAGGTAAGTTAAGACTTCCAGGAATCAGCTAATAACTTGTTCTCAGATTAGACTGAACCTAGGTCACAAAGGTAAGCATCTAGCTATTATACGGCCAACTTTATATCATTCAAGTCAAGCTTGAAAAAAGCGTGTTTCAGATGTTGACTTTTGCTTTCCCCAGATGCATGTGATCTTTGGAGGAGAAAAGGACAGCGTTAGGCCCTTGGTGCTGGCATTTTCATGTCTTTCTCAATGCTGCAACCATGCTGAGTCCTTTGGAGATGTTCTTTTACTGGACTGCTCCCCAATGAAACTGGGTCTTGAAGTGTCAATGGTATCAAGAGAGATCATAGGGTACCCCTCTAAATCTGCCTCTGGTTGATGTCAGTCCTGCTGGCCCTGTGGATTCTGGTCATAGCTACCAACTTTCTCTTTGAAACTTCTTCCTTTTCATTATGTTTAGGTGCCTCTCAAGTCACCAAGCTTTGGTCCAGACTCAAAATCAAATTTCTTTCTTCTCGTCTCTCTCTGACTGATCTCAGAGATATTACAAAGCACATTAAATCTCCAAAGAGAGACAGCACTTAAAAGTGCTATTTCACTTTTGTGTTAACTCACAAAAGTCAGTATCTCTGACTGATCACATATGAAAGAACCCTTAAAAAGAACAGTATCACATTAAAAAAAATTTTTTTAAAGCATTTTAAAGTGCTCTTCTGGGTCTATCTTCTTTTAGACTCTTCAACCTGATATAATGGTGGGGGTAGGTGGGTGGAAACTTGGTCTGAAAAATAACGATTAGCAAATTTAGGAAATTCTTTAAGTTTGACTGGATACTTTTTGCTTTGTCAGTACTACTAGCGGTGTGGGTATTTGATCTCTCATTTGACCAGTTCCAATTACTCTATAAGCGTTTCTGTTTTTTTTTTTTTGTTTTTTTTTTTTTTTTTTTTTAAACTAGTCTCTTCTCTCTCTGGAATAAAAGAACTCATAGTGATAATACTGGAGATTGACACAGAATTGTGTGTTGTGATAAACAAAAGTTAAGAAGTATTACTTTAGAAAAGGTATGCCATCTTTTAAAAATGTAAATAAAATTAAACATTAAAAGTTTGTGCAATTTTGATAAAGAAAGGAAAGTTAATTAGGTTGATAACACATGAAAATAATATCAGAGCTGAGATTATGACTGATTTTTGCTCCTAGGGAGGAGGATATTAATTTACTATATTTACCAAGAAGTTTGAACATCCTGTGAAATAGATAGAACAAAGTTCAGAAAAATTAAGCTAGCCCAAGTTTCCCAAAATAGCATTTGTTTGTTATACTTATGTTGTAAGGATGGGAACCAGACATTTTCAGCTAGCTCTTATATTACTATGTGGAATTCCAAGCCTAGATATGTGGTTTATAACTGTTTTTATTATATCAAGTAAGCCTGAATAATTCTCAACCTCACATGCCATTAAATATTATCAGTGACTGCAGAGTCATTTACAGAATTGATTTTCCTAAAATTTCTTATCACCTAAATCTCTTCAAGATAGACTTAGAACTTGAGCAATGTCTTATAATATTCTAGTGTTACAGAATGGTTGTGAGTGTGAGTGTGTGTGTGTGTGTGTGTATGGTATATTTTCATTTTCTGGTCTTTGTGAAGGTGAACATACTATGAAGAGAAAATATGAAAATTAAATCACATTGTGGAATATCTGATATATTCACTGAGAAAGATCACTATCACTACTTGACTAAGGTTTTATGATCATCCTCCACATGGGAAAGCCATACTATGATCACAAAATATTCCTTATTCTATAGTTTTTATGACCAGTGTCAAATTGAAATTTCCTTTTCTCCCCTTGAGTCTCAGGAAACTGTTAAGACTTCTTTACGTTTTGAACCTTGAGGCAAGATGCATATAAATATTTTTATTCCATGAAGTATCATCTACAAGTTTATACTATTGGACAGAATAGATATCATGTGTGAGTCTAAGAACATTCTTGGAACTTACTGAGTTCTTAAATATTTATACAGTGTGAGAGGTCAGTTCATAACTCAATTTGCTCCAAGTCAGAGTGGTTGACATTTTGATTTTGATTTTCACATATCAGAACTTTATTCTGAATTCTACTTTCTAGCTGGTTCATTTGCATCGGTGTTTTGTAGATGAACAAGAGTGCACCCCATTGACAACCCTTCCAAATTTTTAGGTAAAGTAAATTCAAGATCAAATTCAAATCTATATTTAAAATCCTTCTTTTAAAAATATAGTTTATACTTGACAGGTGATATAATGGATCGTATTAGTACATTGCATTATAGATCAATTTTAATATTGGTGCCCACTAAATAAATACCATTGATGGATGAATAATTTATATGATTTTTTAAATGTAGACATCTCTACATAGATACTACTTAAAACATATGAACTTATTATGTGATGACCATTGTGGCAGAAAAAGAAATAAATAGCTGTAAGGTATTTACAAGACTCAGAATTGACAAAATGTACCCAAGTTTTCAATTTGAAAAATTCAGAAAATGAAATTTATACCTGAAGCATTGTCCTCCTGGTTCTTCTTCTTCTTTTTTTTTTTTTTTTTTGACAGGCAGAGTGGACAGTGAGAGAGAGAGAGAGACAGAGAGAAAGGTCTTCCTTTTGCTGTTGGTTCACCCTCCAATGGCCGCCGCGGCCGGCGCGCTGCAGCCGGCGCACCGCGCTGATCCGATGGCAGGAGCCAGGTGCTTCTCCTGGTCTCCCATCCTCCTGGTTATTTTTAAAGGGCATATATCTTACACTATCTTTAGGATAAGTCTACTTGAGTGAAATTTTTATTTTACATAAAAAAGTGTATTTTATTTTTCAAAAAAGATTAATTCTTTTATATTTATTGAAC